TGAGAGATGGGCTTGGTAATTGTGAAGAAAATAACAGTGGCAGTAGATAACAGCAGAAGTATTACTGTTGGTAGTGACTTAAGAAACCTAGGCTTATATTCAATCCATTTATATGGGTGCCCATCATGCGTATAAATGTTATCTCAGCTGTTATCAAGTTTTCTTTTCTAAATGATACATTATTTCCCCCAGGAGATCCGGAAGAAACCTTTTATTGTTTTATGATTCCATTTCGCTCATGCAGGTTGCAAAAGGTTTACACTTCTAAAGAATGGCCGCCTTTCACTGAAATGCTATATAGAAACTACATAAGAAAATATGCTGGCTGTAAGTTTATACCATTGCTAAATTCTAACGTAAATGGTTATATCTTAAAGTTACGATGAGGGGGATCTCCTCACCTTAACCCATGAAAGCCATCAAGGCATTCCAGAGCCTCAGAAATCAGTCACATCTCTGTCTATGAAACGTAGCAATAGTATTTCCAGGGAATTTTTCTTGGCTGAAGAAAACTCTCAATGATCTGCACATCCCAATCTGAGGAAAGGGGGCTGACATTTTATCTTTTTACAAGGAATCTCAATAAATAGTTCAGAGTCCTCCCTTTCCCTTCATTGCTCCCCAGTTCCCTTGATGGCTTTGCAAGACACAGATGGCATCACCTTGCATCATATGAGGTCCTGAATGTTCCCATATCCATGTATTGTCCCAGATGACCCTTTCCTGTTCATACCTGCCATAGGTGAGATGATCATTCCAAAAATGATATTTTAAAGTTTGTGAAAACATGCAATAAAAAAAAATATTTCCAGGACAATGAAAGGTTTTGAACCCATGACTCAGAAAAGACTCCCATCCCAAGGCAAGTACTCACCTGTAGCCATGACAGTAGCAAGAAGGCAGATGGGAAGGAAAATCTCCATGGTATTAGATGTTTGTACTCTAAGATGACCAAGGAACTCTCAACTGCTGCAAAGGCTCTGTCTCTGATGTAGCTGGGGCTCTGCTTGCAAAGAAAGCTGTCAAGCACTTTCCAGCATGGAGGAGGAGGAAGGGGGAAGAGGAGGCGTCGAAGCTCTCCACTCTCTTTCTTGTCTGCCCATCAAAAGGACGGAAGCCAAGTTATGGCATTGATGGAGCAATTTCCCAAGATGAGCTAATGGAAGTTTACATATGTAGCCTTTCATTTCAGCTTTCAGGAAACCAAATCTAGAAATCGCACAGCCTAGGAATCACATGGCTGAAGGCAGTCTGGTAAATGTGTGGGTCTTTCAAGATGGATTTGAAAAGCAATAGGCAGCTTTCTGGGTCAAATTGAGCTTTAGATAGATTTGCAAGATTGTCAGCTGGACACGAATCCAAAGTGTCACAGGTGTGTTCTTCCTCTGTCACTCATGAAAGCATCTGATAGAGAAGAGGTTCCAAGCCTTGGGTTCCCAAGATGTTCTTAGACTACAACTCCCAGAAATCCTGGCCAACACAGCTAGTAGTGGAGGCTTCTGGAAGTTTTAGTCCAAGAACATTTGGGGACCCAACGTTGGAACCATTGTGGTAGAGTCTTGCATCCCTTGCTGATGGTTGTAGATGGCTTGGAAGAGGTCTCAGATGTTTCCATTGAAACACGGTCTTCCAAAGAGGTGAGGGAGTACATCACCCTGTTGAAATGTTCTTGGGTTAAATTATCCAAAGGAGTCGTACAAATTTCGTTGAGTTGGGCAAATTTGGATGAGGTTTTGAAAACCGGTCTGTTCAACTTGGAGCCATGGGTTTTGAGTACAGGGAAAGGTCAGTGGAACGGTGTATTTGATTTGAACTTTTTAACTGGCTTTTAGCAGTGGGTTAATTCTTTTGAACATTGCTTATTTTGGGGAGTTTTATATTGATGTACGGAAGTGAGAGCTGGACCATAAAGAAAGCTGACCACCGAAGAATTGATGCTTTTGAATTGTGGTGCTGGAGGAGACTCTTGAGAGTCCCCTGGACTGCAAAGAGAACAAACCTATCCATTCTGAAGGAAATCAACCCCGAGTGCTCACTGGAAGTACAGATCCTGAAGCTGAGACTCCAATCCTTTGGCCATCTCATGGGAATAGAAGACTCCCTGGAAAAGGCCCTGATGTTGGGAAAGAGTGAAGGCAAGAGGAGAAGGGGACGACAGAGGATGAGATGGATGGACAGGGTCATCGAAGCGACCAACATGAATTTGACCCAACTCGGGGAGGCAGTGGAAGACAGGAGGGCCTGGCGTGCTCTGGTCCATGGGGTCACGAAGAGTCGGACATGACTAAATGACTAAAGAACAACAACAATTTGCAGGACATCTATATTTATTCATTTTAATGCCATGTACCTCCCATCTTCTTGCCACAAAAGAAGGCAAATGGAGAGGGGGAGCTCACAGAAAACCATACAAATGACAACATGACTTTACAAACTAGCCTGGGTCCCCCAGCCACAGCCCACCACTTTCTTACACTGACTCAACAGATCTCTGATATTTTACCCTTTTTGTAGGAAAAACAATCCTGTATAAAAATATTCCTTGGAACATCCTGCCGCTTGGAGGAAGGAAGAGGTGATGAATGTGGTGGCAGGGCAGGAGAAGCTTAGAAGTCTTCATATGGGGAAAAGAGAAAAGCAAAACTTGTACTTTTTTAAAATGAAGTTAGTAGAATGGGACTGTCTTAAATCTCAGTGGCCAGAACTGCCTTCTTTCTAAAGAGGGTGCAATCCTAACCTTCTTTATAAAGCGGTGTACGGACATAACTTTGGGCCCCTGCTGTGGCACGCCCTCTCATGACAGTGGCTTTGAGCCACGGGTATGATAGGGCATCTGTATATATTTATTTATTTATTTATTTGATTTTTATCCCACCTATCTGGACCAACGGCCCACTCTGTAGGGGATCGTCCACTGACTGAGGGGCCCAATCCCATGAGGGGCTCACTGGAGCCCATCACCAATCTGGCCCTTTCTCAGATGTCTAGGCCCTCCATGTTTATTCTGCTTTTTCACCCCGTGTTGGCCATACAGGAACATAATGGACAGCTCAGTAGCTTAGACCAGTGGTTCTTAACCTTTGTTACTCAGGTGTTTTTGAACTGCAACTCCCAGAAACCCCAGCCAGCAGAGCTGATGGTGAAGGCTTCTGGGAGTTGCAGTCCAAAAACATCTGAGTAACAAAGGTTAAGAACCAGTGGCTTAGGCAACCGGCTGCAGAGCCAAAGACTGGGAGTTCGATTCCCTCTCAGTGCCTCCTTGTCAGGGGCTGGACTTGATGATCTAGAGGGTCCCTTCTAGCTCTGCAGTTCTAAGAATATTATAATGTTCAATACAGGTGGTGGTCTAAGATCCCCTTCTTTCCCTTCCTTGGGAACTGGGAGAGGAAAGCCTGCTGTCTTCCCCACTCTACCCACACTTGATACATCTATTTCCTGGTTGGCTCAGTTCCATTTGATCCATTACAAAAGCAGAAAGAACTCATTACCAGTCAAGTCCATATTTATTTTATAAGCTTTTCTGTCTCTCATTCTTGCTTCTCCTCTTAAATTTGTGTTTGCCATTGCTTGAACACTTTGTTTTATTTTATTTTCCTGCTTGATCTTCCTCACCTTCCTTTTTAAGTATTACCGGCAGATGCCCCATAACTCTGTTGCTAATGCATCGCTGTTTTGCTTTTGCCACTGTACCTCTTTCTTTTTCTCTCATTTTCTCCCGCCCCCTCCCTCTCACACACACCTTGATCTTCCTCACCTTCCTTTTTATGTATTACCGGCAGATGCCCCATAACTCTGTTGCTAATGCATCGCTGTTTTGCTTTTGCCACTGTACCTCTTTCTTTTTCTCTCATTTTCTCCCCCCCCCTCTCTCTCACACACACACATAAGAAATCTCCAAGAGCAGCATTTCAGCTATAAAAGGGGGTTAAGGAACTCTCTACTCCCTAGAAATTTTCATAACAAACAAAGTGAAAGTAGAATTCTGGAAACCAGAAGTAGGATGTTTAGAAAACTGGCCCTAAAGACTGATCTGCCCATCCAAGCTTTTCCATTCCTAATCTAAATCAAAACCAGTGCAATGTCATAGGATACCAACCCTTCAACAGTGCTCATGGGGGTGGGCATGGTGGAAGAGACATGATCCTGGCTATTGTCCAGGGGATAATAGCCCTGTAACGAGAGATGGAAGGAATCAGACCATTAGATGCTTTGCAGCACTTAGAAAGTTTTTTTAAAAAATAATGTTTGCAAGCTCCCTGTTATTCAAGGATGGGGGAAGGTAACTCTGCGCACATACAATGGTGCCTGCAGCCAAACTCTACATTACAGACAACCCATCATTCACAGAGGAAATTCCTAAGATGCTGAAAGATGGTTGATCTTCTGCATTTAAGCTGGAGCATGGTTTACATGTATTAGTACTTAGTGGTGAAAATCAGCCTGAATTATGTCTCTAGTACACTACCCAGCAGGTTTGAACTTTCAGGACAGGCTGTCTGTGCAGTTTGGCTCTAAGCTGGTCTTCCTTCCCATTTTGATTATACGGTGAAAGTTGCGTACGGCTGGGCTGGCATCAAGTCCTGTCTACTTCCCCATCAGGGGATTTGGAAGGGACTTTAGGGGAGTCGATGATTCTAAACAAGGTGAGAAGTTGCTATCAAGAGGGAAAAGGCTGTGTGATCCCCAAAGATTACATAGATGTAAACATGGGCAATACCCTTTATTGGACTACTAAAAATCAAACCAATTGTAAGCTTTTGTGGAGAAAATTACAGACTTAGCCGAAGCCCTTCATGGACAATGTTGAAAAACTGTACACGAGAGTCTTAAAAAAAATGGTAATACATTTCTGTGAGAGTTGATATAAGTCCTCTGAGGCTGCGGTCTCAAGCACCTCCATAGCATGAGAAAGCACAGAGAATGACTTGCTTGTAAAATGCTGAGGAAAGTTCTCTGTGTTTCCCAGAAATGGAGGCGGGAGAGAGGCCCTGCTTCTAAGGAAGCGGCTGGCTGAAGCTTTGGTATGTATGTGTGCAAAAGTAGTAACCAGGCAACTGTGTGGGTGAAAAGGGAGGTTGGAATTTGGTAGTGTTCAGTGTTCTGCTAATGTTCAGCAGCTAAACAAACAATAAAATCTGAATTGTCCCTTTGCTGAACTTAGAATCTGCCTTGAGTCTCTCCCTTTGAGGGAAATTTCACAGCAAACCAGCCAGATTGGCCTCCCCACCCTCGGCCTCCCCAGCGGGCCAAGAAATTCCTGGAGCTGTACTAGAGAAAAGTCACAAATAAGTTCTGCATGCGCATCATCAACCAGGCTATCGCGCAGCGTACAGAAATAGAATAGACAGCATTGTTTGAGCCAAAGGAGTTAGCCGCGGAAGCTTTTCTGAAGACTTTTCTGCATTAGAAGTTTGACTGGAAAAAGCAAGACACCAAGTCAGATAAAATAATAATCTTAAAACTGCAAACCTGGAAGGGACCCTCTGAATCCAACCCCTGTCAAGGAGGCCCGGTGGGGAATAAAAGAGCCAAACTTTAGCTCCGCAGCCAGAGCCCTAACCCACTGAGCTATCCAGCATCCTGAGCAACTACCTTCCTTCAGGCTGTTGAGTCTCCATCCTGGTCAATGGATCTGCTTTTGAGGAACGTCCATTGGGACAAGAAGAGGGTCATTGTCCTTCAGCAGATGGCCTCCTCCAACTTCATAGCTCCAGGAGTGCTCTTAGCTTGGTAGGCAACACACTGGAAACGTCAGCTTCATGTGAATGCTGCCACAGTAAAAACAGACTTTTCTGATCTTTGAACGAGAATAATGGGTATTTCCAAAGTTTCCCCCCCTGACTTGGGCATGGGGCTGCAGACTGAGTCCCAATAAGCCTGCATGTGTTGCTTTGCCCCAGTATCCCCAGCTGATTAGAATGTTTCTGCCATCTCCTGTCAGTTTGTGGAGATGGTTCTATGGTTTTGCCGGCTTGGCCCTGTCTGCCATTCGCCCCGGCCAGGGAGCCACCGGGCTGGAAAGCAGAAAGGAAATTCCTGCAGCAAGTCTGCACAGACAGAATCTGGTGGCCTGCTCATCAT